ACCAAAAGAGGCATGGAGCAGATCTCAGCTCAACTGTAGTGGACCACGATGTATTTATGTGACGTCTGTCTCGTATCAAACCAAACAAACTGAATTAACTTCACCAAATCAGTCATAATCCAGACAGACTCCACTGTTAATCATGAAAACTCGTTCAAACTTTTAAAGTCAGTCAATTTAAAGATCACTAATCCTTTTTTGCCTTTTCACCAGCTTTTTTGTATGCTCACGTGGGAGGAAGCAGGAACATTAAGAGAAAATCCACAAACAGATGCACAAATATTGAAACCATACTTCTAAAAAGGCCCGCAGAGACAAGAATTATATTAGAGAACATAAATGCTAACCACTATACCAGTATGCCTTCTGTGTGTGTGTGTGTGTGTGTGTGTGTGTGTGTGTGTGTGTGTGTGTGTNGTGTGTGTGTGTGTGTGTGTGTGTGTGTGTGTGTGTGTGTGTGTTAAATTTAAAGAACAGTGTGTTGAGTTGGAAAAACTCCAGTCGAACCACAAGTGATTCTTTGCAGGAGAGGAACTCCACAGATGTGTGTGTGTGTGTGTGTGTGTGTGTGTGTGTGTGTGTGTGTGTGTGTGTGTGTGTGTGTGTGTGTGTGTGTGTGTGTTAATTATACGAATAAATAAATAAAAACATGAACAATAATAATGGGGTAAAAAAATAGGCAACCAACTCTGGACATCCCTTTAAACTTGACAGCCACTACAGTAAGTTCCAGTGTTGGTGCCTTTTTTCCACAATTTAAAACACAGACATGCATACACAAAAACATACAACATCTACCATCTCTGGATTTGTGCAAGGAAAATAATTTCTGATTTCATTGCGGATTATACAGTACAAAATAATTTGTAGAAAAAAACCCATCTCAATAGCATCTTTACTTTATTATTTTTGGATCAGCTGGAAGCTTTTCAGAGAGTTACCGAAACAACCCGATTACAAGGGATTTGAGTCGTTCAGCCTCGGAAGTAACATATTCARGGAGCGGTCGAACAAAACGGCTTTTAGATGAAGACAAAGTGTAGCGAGTGATTGTGTTAGATCTTAGTGGCTCATGAGGGGAGGGAAGCTATTAAGCTAAATCTTAACATGTCAAACTTAATAAAACATCTTCAGACTCATCACCCAGAGGAGCACAATGAATTCACTTTAATAAGAGAAGCAAAGGCAGCTGGAGCATGAGCAAGGAAGCACGGTTATGTAACAATTAAACTATAAATACAGCGATTATAGCAGACGAACAAACGCATAAAGCACCAAAGATGCATCTTTGGTTTACTGAATAGTGGAGACGATTGCAGTGTTGGTTTTTGATATTACTCGTGTTCAGGTGAAAACTCTGATACAGCTGAATATTCTTTTGTTGTTGTAGTATGTTTTTATGTGCACCCATCAACCAGGTGGTATAATTTGTCTAAGTTTTCCACAATGACAGTAAAGCTAAATGAAGCTGATTTCTGCTCTACACCTCATGGCTGTTAACCCCGTCTTTAATTGACCCCTCTGATGTTGGCACATGGCAGCTGGTGGTGTGCTGCCAAGGACTCTGAATTCATCTCACTGGTTCTGGACACCGGATTTGGACAAGCCTTCCTGTAATCCTTTTGACTTGGCTGCTCTTTTTTTTTTCTTCTTTCGAACAGTTGAAGTCTGATCTTCTCACTATGGAAATGTGCTCGCAGGCTTTGATGGTTTATTCACGTAAACCCTTTTCAAAGGATGTGTCCAGTTCTTCCTCTTCCTCATAGTGCCCCCACTTCCCCCCACATAGCCATCTTCTTTTCTAACCCTCCACCCCCGCAACGCTCGCTCTGATCGATCCAGCCATGTCTCCCGGTCCCACATGTCATCTTTTTTTTTTTTTGACACAGCTCTGCTCTCCTTACTGCTTGGTATTCTGAACTGAGAATGCATGCACCATCTCAGATCCATCAGATCCGATAGTAATGCTGCACCACGGCTCTCAAAAATACCAAGATGTGAATGGAGGGGAAAAAAAGATGGAATGTAAAATAGAAAAGGGTGTTTGTGTAGCGTGTTGAGGGTGTTACTGGTGTACAGATCCATAGCTTGATGAAATCTTTCAAAGACCAACATGTCAACATGGCATAGAGAGAAAACGGAAAGAAGTTAAAAAAGGGATAGGAAATAACATTTGTCAGATAATTCCTGTCAGGTGCATTTTGTTTATATTCCTTTGTGTTTTATGATTAGGTTTCTGTTATGTTTTGTGATTCTTGTGTTTTACTCTCTGTTCCTCTGTGCCATTATTGTTTTCCCTGTTAGTTGTCATCTCCTCAGTCAGTCCTGCCACACCCACTTAAACCTGCAACTTGGTTTGCTTGTCACAGCTGCAGCCACTTCTCCTTATCATCCCAAGTCTACTTAGGCCCTGTCCCAATACTCGCGCTCCCTCCCTTGTTCCGCCCTTGTGCACTTCAAATGTGCGTTCATGTTGAAGGGTTTGAGTGCGTAATGTGTCCCTCATTCTCCACATCCGCCCTTGGCCCTGCTCATTTTGGGTACTATTTCCGCCCTTACATGAAGTCCGCATTTTTACGGATTTCGGGGAAGTTTATTACCCACAATTCATTGCTGTGTGACATTTTGAATTAAAAGGCAGGAATCTGGCAATGTCCACTGAACACCTTCCTGTTTAATGGTGGCAGTAATGCACTTAAATTAGTCTGCCAACCACCAATATAACCAAAAGAAGAAATTATAGAAGTTAGTTCTCATACTCTGATGTATAAGTCTCCTTCACTGCAATTTCTTCTCTGAAAAACGATTGCTTTTTGTAGTTGTCCTAACATTTTTATCAATACAAATGCCAAAACAGTGACTGGTCCCGCCATGTTGGATGTCGCAGTTACGACGCAGAGGTGCTAGTTAATGACGTAATCCGTACTGTCCCAATTCTCATTTTTTTTGCACGCTTGGAACCTGCGCACTCAAACACTTATGTGCACTTCAACTGAATCCACACTTCAGAGGGTACACTGAGCATTGGTGTTAAGTTGAGGTGCAGAATGAACCCAAATCCGGATGGAGGATGAGATTTAAATAAAATGATTTATTTAAACAAACAAAACAAAGAGCTGTCAGGGCAGCTAAAATAAAACTAAAACTAAAACTCTGAGGGACAACGAGGACAACAAAACAGTAGGAGTAATCCATGTAATGATCCAGCGAGGAATGAACTGAAGAGAAAGGTATTTATACAGACAGAGGAATGAGGAAATGAGGAACACCTGGGAGCAGGACTGATTGGAGATGACTGAACAGGTGAGGATGATTAAACAGCAGGAACCAGATAGAGGGGAATGTGTGATAACACTGAGGGAACACAAGAGGGAGATAACACAGACTGACAAATAACACACATCCTCACAATTGGGACTGGGCCTTAGTCCAGGGGTGTCAAACTCATTTTCACCAAGAGCGTTACATGAGCGTTATGTTTGCCCTCAAAGCACCAGTTGTAATTAATATTTAACTTTGACGAAGACACAAAACGTCACATTCCTTGCCTCACTGCTACGGCTAAGCACCGCTAACAAACAATGACTGAGCTCTGTGGGTTATTTTGTTTATAGAAACAGGGTTTTAACACATCTTCTTAAACACTGAAAAGTATTATGTGTACAATGGACTTATTGTGAAAAATAATATATTTTTTGGGGGTATGGGTGTTGGGGAACATATTGAAGTCACCTGTGGGTCACATTTGGCCCTCTAGCCATGAGTTTGGCACGTGTGATTTAGTTAGTCAGTGCTCAGTTGAACGTTGTACACATTCTTCTATGTTACGCTCTCATCTCTTTGATTCACTCATTTTTACTCTCTTCAGTATGCTCATCATGTTTTGTTCTACATGTGTGCAAATAGCAGAGGAGCAAGTAGCGATCATATTGATGTTTTCTCTTTATTCATGTTTTACTCTCTCTTTGTCTTTGCTTCCCCTCTCCTCGAAAGCTTCTCAATCCTCTGTGTGATCTCCCCCATGGCTTCCCTCTACAGCAGTATATTGCCTTGGTAATTACCAGTTGTCTTTAACAGACAGATGGAATAAGGGAGATTGACGGGCATGGGGTGTCTATGCCCCCCCCCCCCCCCACACACACACACACACACTCACACACACATGCAGCTCCCTTTTGCATGTGTGCTCAGAATGCACACTTACCTACTTCTCTCCCCTTCTCACGTACTTTGCTGTGACTTTGGTTATGGGCACAGCTGATGTGTGTTTGTGAGACTGTGTGTGTGTGTGTGCGCGCATGTGTGTGTGAAAAGGCAGACAGGAGGAATTACCTGACAGGATGTGTTAGTTGAGGATGAGAGTGCGACAGCCTCATCTCCTGCTTCTGCGCTGGCAATTTTAGATGCCATGTGTCACTCTGGGGCCTCTGCAGGGGCCTCAGGAGGAATGGTTTTGGTCCCCCTTTTCTCATTTGTCCCACCAAGCCCCATACTAAGCAACAGGACAACGATAAAAGCTCAAATTGTTGAAACAGATGAAGGATGCAATTCATCTAAGTATTTGCAAACCTTGAAAAAACAGAGATTACTCGCCATCTTTTGGTCAAACAAGCTCATGCAATGTTGTGATATCTTGTCTGATACGAAAGCACTCTGAGTTTGTGTTGAGTAGCACTCTCAGCTACTACCACAACAAATTTTAGCTGAATATCTGTAAAACTGGCTGAGTTATAGTCATTGCTGTGTTGGCCAATGACTAAGTTGTGAGTTTTATTAAAATCTGTGCAATTAAAGGCCAAGTTTAAAGCAAAACTGTAGCACAGTATGAAGTGCTTAAAATATGCATCAAAGACAATGTTCAGCTATAACCACGCCAATTCTCAACAATAACAATATCCTCTTTTGACTTCAAAGACAGATGATAAAGAGTCAAAGGGAATGACAGCTGTTCAAAAAGTTGGTTTCATGTTTTAAACTTTGAATTAATATTTCTCTTTCAGGCCGGCATGATCAAGACCGAGCAGGAGGAGTTTTTTATTGAGCCGTTGGAGAGGGGAGATGGAGTCATCGAAAAGGAGGAGGAGGAAGGGGGAGGAGGCAGGACGCACATCGTCTATCGCTCGTCAGCTCTTAAGAAAGTGCCCATCAGCAGCACAGCGGCGGACTACCACTCCAGAGGTTGGTCTGTGGTTCCCATAGTGCTATCCTCCACTTTTAATGCATCCTTGACTGAAAGCTCTTCGTGCACACTTCAGCACCGTTCTCTTATTTCCATCTCTCCTTGAAGCAGACACGTGATCTGACTGAAACACAGAACTCGAGCCAAGTTGCAGATCATTTATCTTTCAGTTCCACATAAAGTGTAGTCTTGCCCAAATACACTTCAGCATGCTGGCATTGAACCCACCGATTGAAAGAAAACCTATGTACCGCCAAGCCAAACTGCCATTGAGTTCTTCAAAACCCTTACAGAACACTTGTTTCAAAAAGTTTAAATGATTATTTTAATACTTTGATTCCAAACACCACATTAGGGGTGTCTTGATACCTGCTTTTGTCAAATTGAGTTGGAGTACAAGTACTTCATTTTGGGTACTTGCTGATGCAGAGTACATCCTGAAATAGACTTTAAACATTACACAATGACTTTAAAAACACATTTACTTTATTTAGAACAAGGTGGCTCTCCATACTTTTAGGCCTACAGCCTCTATGACTGGATTAAATCAAATATACAACATAACATATAATGTTGTGAAATTTTAAAATAAATAATAATACCAGTATCAGTTAGGGTTGGGCAATATTGGCAAAAAAATAATCATCACGATTAATGGTGGCATTTTGCCATCCATCCATCCATCCATCCATCCATCCATCCATCCATCCATCCGTTCATCCGTTCATCCATCCATCCATCCATCCATCCGTTTTCTGCTGCTTATCCGGGATCGGGTCGCAGGGGCAGCAGCCTAAGCAGAGAGACCCAGACTTCCCTCTCCCCAGCCACTTGGACCAGCTCGTCCGCAGATCAGATGCAACAACAACAAAGTCAATCATCGAACCGCGGCCTAGGGTATCCTGGTGCCAAGAGCACGWATGGACACCCTTATGTTTGAACATGGTGTTTGTTATGGACAATTCATGACGGGCACAGAAGTCCGATAACAAAACACTGTTCGGGTTCAGATCGAGGGGCCGTTCCTCCCAACCATGCCTCTCCAGGTCTCACTGTCGTTACCCACGTGAGCGTTGAAGTCCCCCAGCAGAACGAGGCAGTCCCCGTTAGGAGCGCTCTCCAGCATCCCCTCCAAGGACTCCAGAAAGGGTGGGTAATCTGAACTGCTGTTTGGCGCATAGGCACAAACAACAGTTAGTACCCATCCCCCAATCCGTAGGCGGAGGGAGGCTACCCTCTCGTTCACCGGGGTGAACCCCAACGTACAGGCACTGAGATGAGGGGCAATGAGTATGCCCACTCCTGCTCGGCGCCTCTCAGCATTGGCAACTCCAGAGTGGAAGAGTGTCCAACCCCTCTCGAGGAGACTGATTCCAGAGCCAGAGCAGTGTGTTGAGGTGAGTCCAACTAGTCGGAGCCTCTCAACCTCACACACCAGCTCAGGCTCCTTCCCCACCAGAAAGGAACGTTCCACGTCTCTAGAGCCAGCTTCTGTAGCCGAGGATCGGACCGCCAAGGACCCCACCCTCAACCACTGCCCACACACAATGCACCCGACCCCTACGGCCCCTCCCACAGGTGTTGAGCCCATGGGAAGGGGGACCCACGTCTCCTCTTAGGGCTGTGCCCGACCAGGCTCCATGGGTGAAAGCCCAGACACCAGGCACTCGCCAATATGCCCCACCTCCAGGCCTGGCTCCAGAGTGGGGCCCATGTGACCCCCATCCAGGCGAGGGAACAGTTAATCCATTTATTGGGTTCATCATAGAGGTCTTTGGGCTGCACTTTGTCTGATCCATCACCTAGGACCTGTTTGCCTTGGGTGACCCTACTGGGGGCATGAAGCCCCTGACATCATAGCTCCAAGGATCAATGGGACACTCAAACCTCTCCACCACGATAAGGTGGCAGCCCAAGGAGAGGAAAAAATTGGCTTTTTGGCCAAAGAAGCTGAATTAAACCAAAGCCTCACTTGTAAAAATAAAAAAGAAAGAAAAACAGCAATCTCCCACACACTCCCTTCATTGCCTGCACCTTGTTTTTGTCAAACTACAATATTCAAAGACAGTGTCACATGCTGCTTTCAAAAAGATTAGACTAGCGCAGAGTCAGATGCATCCCGCTGTCAGTGTACTAATTTTCCAGGAAGAAAGGTGTGACATATGGAGCGACACATGTTCTATTGGTAATAACACCTTCTGTATCTGTAATAAAATGACATGCTGCCTTGGCTGCCTTGATGATTTACACTCTTCACTGAAGTTTTTACATTATACTCATTTATGTCTTTCAATTAAAATTTCTTTTATTTATTTTAATTCAGCACACAGTATGTCAGCTCAAGAATTAAAACGGATAGCAAATGTGGATTCAAATATGTATTTATACTCCCCTTGCCTACAACTAGTTGACCCACAGCTGATGCAAATGGGCCTTGAGACCTATGGTGTTACTATTGTGCCTCCAGCTTGATTCACTTCTTATTTTTCAACCTGTTCAGTTTTTTCTATTTTCTATAWAGTTTTCTGAGCTATTACATCACAGTATTTATGAAGGAGCTACCAAATAATGTCTGAACTTACCAACTACAATTTAGTCCTCTTCATTCTCCTCAGGCTCTGGGGACTCTGGCTCCAACATGTAAGACCAGATGCACAAGCCTTCCATTGTTCACATATTTTAATTTGTAAATAAAAATTTTCTGTGACCCTATATAGAAGCTGGAGGGTMGGTGGGGGGGGGGGGGGCAGGATGTGAAGTTCCTAGTTTGAATTTAAAGAGACTTCAACAAAGCAAGTTGGTCTGAGACACACCTTAGGAAAGAAGTGAAAGAGGGGCTTGTAGTGTTACAATAAGGAGGAATTCAGAGCAAAGCATTACAGTTCCACTTTATATAGAACCCATCTGAATGGTTTAAATGTGAAAAAGAAGGATTTAAAAGCAGGATATGTCCACTGAAGAAACAACCTGAGTATAAAAGCAAAGGTACTCTTCAGGCAAAAAGACCAAGGAGAAATTAATAATTAACACTTTTCTGTTTTACATCAGTCTTTGTCATTTTTAGCTACAAATCACTGCCTCAGTAATTTCCATGTGATCAGATATTTTAAGGAATATGATACAGGATGGTTGTTGCTTCATTTTCACAATATCTCTTTCAAAGACAAAGCATGGCCTGACTTGTTGCCACACTGTTCTTTCTCAGAGATGTTTTTTGTTGTTGTGTAGTTCACTAAGAAGAAGCACAACTTTATTTCAAAGCGTGCAACACCTGATGATATTTAGTTGTCATGTCAGTGATTTACAGACTTATCTCAGCTAATCCCCAAAAGGAGCGTAGCCTCCAAGATTTGAGAATCAGATTGTGCAGGTGTGAGCTGAAGCTCTTTCTAATGAGCGCATTGCAACAGATGAGATCTGTGTCTTCCTATTCTGAGCGGTTGACTTGAGAATGTCTAATAATATACAGAGCAAGAGAGAGAGAGAGAGAGAGTTTCCATAGGAACACCCAGAGCGGACAGACTGCATTGGAGTAACACAGAACTGCTCCCAATGTTACTAATACCTGGCAATACATCCACATGCAGACACAGACACACTACAAAGCTTAGCACATGGAAGAAAGAAAAAAAGTTTATGCCAACACAGGCATGAACAGGATATAACCACACAGCTTATACAACTCCTGTGTTTATGCATTTACACTTTTGAACATGCACACGCAAATGCAGCAAGTGTGCAGACAAATGACACACACACACAWACACACAAACTCAATGCGTCTCACTGCTCCTTGTTGCCTTTGAATCTTTCTTTCTAATGAAGAGTGGGGTGCAGATCAATAGCGTAGGATAGAACAGGCCACCGTGTGTGTGTGTTTGCATGTGTGTGTGTGCGTGTGTGTGRGCGTACAGCGTGGGCATGAGTTCTGTGGTCGTCTGGCTTTGAGTGCTGGGATTTTCAAGGCTATGCAGGCTGACAGACAGACAGATGAGCGGGCATGTGCTGCTCCCAGAAGCATTTTATGTGGATCTCTCTCTTTGTTTTRCTTTTCTTTTCATATTTTTGTCTCATGCTATTCTAGACCACAACATTATGTAAACACAAAGTTTATCATTTAGTTGTTAGATCATATTGCTGTAACATCAGAGCCACACTGTGATAAAGGAAGCACCTTGCTCTGACAGGCAGATGACAACATTATTGCCTGTGTCTGAGTGTTCATATTCTATAAAGTAGTTTTTTGATGTTAGTGAAGTTCTTCACAGGTAATCACTGGGTGCACATCTGCAACTGATTAGCTTTTAGAGTCAGCTGTATTCAAGATGGCTGCTAAAGCTAACCAACCTTACCCAACACAAAAATTAGCTGTAGCTCAGTCAAATATAAGGATATTGAACTATAAATTGGAGTGTTAGTAGCTGAGAGTCATCGCTAACACATACTCCAAGAACAATGCATTGCACAACACATTTGTTTAAAAACTTGTCTGTAACTGTTAGTCACTTCTGTCTGTCTGTTGGCAAAATAGCTCATGAACCACTGGACAGATTTCAATGAAACTTTCAAGGAGTAATTTTCGAATACATACCTACAATTGATTAACTTTTGGAGCGAAACCAGTTTAAGATGGCTGCGAAGGCCAATTGGATTTAGGAAAAACAACAAAAGGCTATAACTCAGTCAGAAAGCTAGAATCTGATGTAGTAGTGATTGTGTGACCTGTTAGCACTCACATAATCTGCTGTAGGTAACTCTCAGAGTTTTAGCTTAAATCTTTGGCGTGCATTATGAAGCAAAACACATTCCTTCAAGACGCAAGTTTCAGTTTCTTCGCGTTTTGACAGGTGATCTCTCACATTCTTAGATTAGTTCTTCAGGAACTTTAGCAGATTAATCAATAATCAAACTTTTTGATGATCTTGTATGGCAGGAACACTTTATTCAAGCCATTACTGAATTTTAGACTTACTTCCTGGCCAGTGACAAAGGGGAGGAA